ATGGAAAAAAAATTAATTTAATGTGAACAACTATATTTGGAAGACACACTCACCTTCTCTTCCTATACCCAAAGTAGTAAACGTCAATTAAACAATTCATGGACATAAAATATTCTGCACAGAGCAAGCATTTAATAATTATTGTGGCAGAAATCTGTATAGTTTACATGAACAGGGTTTCTATTAATTCCAGGGGTAGATCTAAAATCAAGACCAATCAAGTTTCTACCTTGTGAACTTATATTTTAATGGGGAAAGAGAGACACAAAAGGAAAAAATAAAAATATTTTTTTGTTGCCAGGTTTTTAAAAAAATCATATTTTTAAAAAACTTGGCAATGAGTCTTTCTGCAAGGAACAATATATTCTAAAATGAAATGAAGATTTTTTTTAAAGGTTAAAAAACTCATTCAATTTTATGCCTTACAGGGCTTATACTGAATTCAATATTGTGTAACTGTATTAACTCAACTGTGAACCTAGAAACTTGCACCCACGTGTGAAAGAGATGTACTCTTGCTCTGGAGTGTGCTACTGAATATGTTAAACCTATAGTGAAATGTTTCCTCTAATCATGTAGTTATTAAAAATGAAAAAAAATGATTAAAAAAAATAATTAGTAGATGTGAAAAACATTACCATTAAAATCTCAATCATGTAGTTATTAAAACTTTTTTTAAAAATATGATTTTGGAGATTGGTCTGGTACCCTGAAGAAAACAACACAGAACAGTGGTTTATCATGAGAAGAGATCATGAGAGGCTTATCACTGAGGCTATTCTAGTTAGGTCAGAGAAGGCCTTTCTGAAATGATATTTGAATTCAATGTTTCTTTGAAGGACATATGGTAATATACAACAGTTGAGGGGAGCTCTGCATTCACTGACAGAGGAAGAAAAAGGTTAGTGAGGCCTAGGGTAGCATGGGAGGAGAGGCCTGTGGATGCCAAGTGCATACAGATCCAAAGGAATGTGGTTCATCAGGTCCTTCTCTGAATTATCCTAAGATATTGGTGAGGATGGCAAGGGTAGAGTTGATGGAATCTTTCAAAGACCTTTGGGACTTGCTCTAATGGCAGTTACTAGAAGATTTTAATCAGGGGCAGAGAATCCTTCAGCAGCTATGTAGAGAATATTTGGAGTGGAAGGTAAGGTCAGTAATAAGGCAATTGGAATAGTCCAGTGCAGGAATCCAAAAATTAAAAGGTGCCAGGACAGGACAAGGAAGCAGCTGCATATGGGGATGAGGACTCTTTCTTGAGTGATGAAAATGTTCTAAAACCGAATTATGTGGCTGATTACACAACCCTGTAATTTATTTAAAATTACTGGTTTGTACACTTTTTTTAACTTTTTTAAAAAAACCTTAAAATTTTTTATTATTTTTATTTTATGTGTATGCGTGTATTGTCTGCATGTAGGTAAGAGCACCGTGTCATATTGTGCAATGCCCATGGAGGTCAGAAGAGGCTGTCAGATCCCCTGGGACTGGAGTTATGGACAGTTGTTAGCTGCCATGTGGGCACTGGGATTCTAACCCGGGTCTTCTGCAAGAACAACCAGTGTTCTTAACTGCTGAGCCATCTCTCCAGCCCCTATTTTATTATTTTCATTTTATGTGTATGAGTGTATTACCAGCATGTAGGTAGGTGTACCCGTGTCATGTAATGCACGAGGAAGACAGAAGAGGGCATCAGATCCCCTGGAACTGGAGTTAGAGACTTGTTACCCACCATATGGGTGCTGGGAATGGAAGCAAGAGCAGCCAATGCTCTTAACCGCTGAGCCATCTCTCCAGTCCCCTAGATTGTACACTTTACTAAAACAGGTAGCATATATGGTATGTAAATTATGTCTCAAAAAACAGTTAAAGATGACTGAGGAAGAGTAAATTTGTCACCTGAGTTTCAGAAGTGAATTGGTTAAACTTGAACACTTCTTTTTCCCATACTCAAAGAATTCCAAAACATTAGTCCAAAATCTTAGTCGACTTAAGAGAGGTTGCTTTTAGCCAGTTTTCCCTATTTCTCACATAAGCACTTCACTGTTCCCTCTTTCCCTTGTTTTGGACTTCCATATCTAGCTGCCTTCAATTCTTCTTTGATATACACCTGATAGAAATCCAATAATGACTTGGCTAAAGAAGATTAAGGGCTGGAGAGATGGCTCAGTGGTTAAGAGCATTGACTGCTCTTGCAGAGGACCCAGGTTCAAATCCTAGCACCCACATAGCAGCTAACACCCATCCATAACTCCAGTTTCCAGGGATCCAACACCCCCTTCTGACCTCCTCAGGCATTTCATGACATGAATGCACTTATATCCATGCAGGCAATACACTCACACATAAAATAAAAACAATAAAGCCGGGTGTGGTGGCGCATGCTTTTAATCCCAGCACTCAGAAGGCAGAGGCAGGAAGACCTCTGTGAATTTAAGGCCAGCCTAATCTACATAGTGAATTCCAGGCCAGCTGGGGCTACAGGGAGACCCTGTCTCAAAAAAGACCCCCCCCAAATAAATAAAAATAAATAAAACATTTTTAAAAACGGCTTAAATGGCAGACCTCCTCATCCTTACTGCACTTCTCTCTTCCGTGTAAACTCCCCATTGAATTCCTTCCCTAGGAGTCACAGAATTCAAGAAAATACACAGTGACCTCCATGGGTATACCCACTAGTGCCTCAGTTGCATTTTTTTTAACTTTTATTTATTACTTTTATTTTATGTGTATGCGTGTATTGCCTGCATGTAGGTAAGTGCATCCGTGTTGTGCAATGCCTGTTGGAGGTCAAAGGAGGCTGTCGGATCCCCTGGGACTGGAGTTACAGACAGTTGTTAGCTGCCATGTGGGTGCTGGGATTCTTCTGCAAGAACAACCAGTGTTCTTAAGTGCTGAGCCATCTCTCCAGCCCCCTCAGTTGCAGTTTTAAAATACACATCCATTCAGGATTCTGTGTGTTTTAGCACTGCTGTATTAGTTTTCCATAGTTGCCATGACAAAGTAACACACAGAGTGGCTTAAAACAACACTCATCTCTTCTTTCACATTTCTGGAGGCCATAGCTCAGTATGAGTCTCAAAGGACTTGAAATCAAGATATGTGCAGGCCCCATTGCCCCCAGCGGCTCTAGAATCCACTCCTTTTCTATGCTGACCTCCACCACTCTTTGGCTTATGGGCACTCAGTCCAGTCTCTGTCTTCATGGACATACTGCCTTCCTGACCCTTCTATCAAAGCTCCTTTTGCCTCTTTTATCACCGTTGAGTTTACATTTAGGGTAGACAGATAATACATGATAATCTCTCCATTTCAAGATCTGTGACTTAAGTCACATTAAAAAAGACCTTTTCTCTCATAACATTTACAAGTTTCAGGGACTAGGACCTAATATTTTTAAGTGACCATTATTCAGCCCATTATGCCAGGTAATTTGACAGCATACACTTTGGTTCAGAAAAAGTCCCTTTTAATAAATGGATTTTTGTTGTTGTTGTTGTTGTTGTTGTTTTTAAAGACAGGATCTTCCTGTAGTTATATAGCACTCACTATGTAGACCAGACTGGACCCTATCTCACAAAGATCTGCCAGCCTGTGCCTCCCAAGTGCTTGGATCAAAGGTATGTACCACCATGCTGGGGCTTTAGATGCTGGAGTTTTAAAGTAGATTACCTGAACACAGGAAAACACAGAGTCCTCCCTGAAAAACCACAACAGGAAGCAAAGACCTTGTATAACATATCAAATGTTCAATTCTTATTCTTATTTATGGGGTATGATCATATCACCAGACACTGACAGTATTTTACCCACAAAAAAATAAATAGGTAACTATTAAAAGTATGGAGCTGGAGAGAAGGCTCAGAAGTTAAGGAGCACTTGCAGCTTTCTTTTTAAAAATAATTTTTATTCATTCTTTGAAATTTTCGTGTATGTATACAATGTATCTTGATCACATCCAATCCCCTACTCCCTGCTATAACACTCCCCAATATCCCCCACCATCACATCTCCCTCCCAATATCTATTTAAATAGCTGCTTTTTCTTTCAGCTAATGAATTGACCATTACATTTCCAAATTTCTGAAATGGCCAACAGGTCACAGAAAGCCATTTCTTTAGGCACCTGCTTGAAACCAATAGCAAACTGTCGGCCTTGATTCAGGGCCAAGCACTTGCAGCTCTTACAGAAGAGAGGATTTGGTTCCTAGCATCCACATGACTCAAAACCTTCTGTAAATGCAGTTCCAGGGGATCTGAAGCCCTCTTCAGGCATCAGCAGCCACTAAGCAAGCACATGGTGCAGACACATGCATGCAGGCAAAAACACTCATACACATAAAATAGTGGAGGTTTCAGAGTTCTCCCACAACTTCTCCATTCCCACAAGCTGTATGCAGTAGTCATAAACAGTCCTGCCTAGCTAGCCTATGTCCACAATGGACCTCTTTAATTTTTCATAAACTTGCTGCTGAGTTGAAATAGTCACCAGTCAAAATACCCTAATAGCCCACGTCACTTGCCTTCTACATTCCTTGGCTCTTAAAGCCAGCATGACATGACAAAGGACCACCACCTGGGACAGAGAGTGGGGACTTGGACCGTGCAGTGGGAAAGGATGGAGACTGATGCTGGTAACAGGGAATGCTGAGATCTAAGGTGGATTACCCAGGGTTCCAGTCAACAGGGTTTAACTCGGGATGAGACTGGTGACGGGCTCCACTCCCCTGAATGAGTCCTCTCAAATCAAGGAACTGGGCACCGAGCCACAGGTCTCACGGTCTCGGGCCCCTGTGGCCTCCAAGACCCAATCTTCCCACCATTGTCTCTGGAGATCTCGAACTCTCCGAAAACAGCGGCTGTTCATCCGCACAAGTAACTGGGCGGGTACATGTCCGAACACAAGGCCATGGAGGGTTCCAGAAGTGACCCAAGTCGCTCTGGGGTCTCCAGAGCAGCACCGAGCCCCTGTCCCCCATGGCCGCACGGCGTCCTCGTACCTGCTACCAACACCGCGTCCTAGGAGACTGGCCTCATGACCACAGGGGCGGCGGCCGCACCTGTGCGACCCGGGGACGCACCGGCTCCCCACTGCGCCCCGATGCCCGGGCCAGCACTGCGGCTCCCTGTGGCGGCGCCCAACACTACCCCGCGCTCACCACGCGGCCTGGCCCAGATCGCTCCCGCCACCACCCACAGCACACTAGCCTCCCGGGGCAACAGTTGGCCACAGAGTAGGAGGGATGGGCGGGGCATGGTGAAGGGGCGGGGCCACGGAGAGGGGCGGGGCGTTATGTGGGGCGGGACTGTGAGGGGGCGGGGCATTAGAGATGTGTGTAGGGGAAGGGGCGAGGATCGAGGCTACGTCTTCAGGCCCTGCGTTTCCCTGACGCGGTCGCCGGGGCAACCACGAGAACCTCGGGTACCGCCAGCCCCCACCTCCAGACAGTTGCGGGCGCTCCGACGCCCACAGTGCTCCTGCAAGGATCCCTCTCCCTTTCCCTACTGCCCCGAAACCAGGCTCCCCGCTGCACTCTTCCGCCACACACACGCACGCACGCACCCCGCCATGCCCTTGACCCCCCACACACACCGCCATGCCCCTGGCCAGTTTAAGTAGACAAGAGTAATTGGCATTTTGCAGTCCGTCTGTGCTTAGCTGGTGCTGTGCCTCAGACCAGAATGTTTTTCCAGGTTCAGGCATATTTTCAGAGTAGCTGAAATTAAAGGCATATGCCCCCACTCACTGCCTAGTTATTTTTTTAAGCAAAGGTTTGCTGTGTAGCCCAGGCTGACCACAAATTTGGGATTTTTCTGCCTCTATTTCTGAAGTGATGTGATTATGGGAGTGTGCCGCTCAACTCCTGCTTGGTTTAAGTCTGTTAACTCTCAACGTTGAATTAACCACAAATATTTTAATGTATAAATATTAATAAATCCTGCCCATGTAATGCAGTTGCAAATTTTAACAATTTATGGAGCACCGTTAAAGATTGCTTTTATTGGGGCTGGAGAGATGGCTCAGCCCTTAAGAGCTCTGGTTGTTCTTGCAGAAGACCTGCGTTTGAATCCCAGCACCCACAAGCCAGCTAACTGTGGGTAACTCCAGTCCCGGGGGGATCTGACAACCTCTTCTTACCTCCGCAGGCACTGCAGGACTCGGGTGCACTTACGTACATGCGGGCAATACACGCATACACATAAAATAAAAACGTTTTTTTTTTAAGTGTAAAAAAAAGATTGCTTTTATCATACCTTAAAATTTTCCATTTATTGCCTCAAAGACATCTAGGATTACTTATTCGAGTACATAAACAGGAAATTAAAACATAAGTATTAAATAGAAAGGTAAATGGTTACACTCTATGACTAGGCTGAAAACAATTTCCAATTTGTTTTTCATCTTTTTTTCTATTAAAACATGAGTGTGTATTTATGGCATAAAAATAACCTACATGGGTTTGGGGAGTTGAACTCAGGTACCAAGTTTGCCCCACAAGCACCTTTACCAGCTGAGCCATCTCTCAGGTCCTACTTTATATTTTGAAACAGGATCCCTCACTGAATTTGGATCTCACCAATTGGTTAGACTACCTGGCCATCAAGTCCCAAGGAGCTGCCTGGCTGTCCTCCCTGGCTATTTTTTTTAAATTATTTATTTAATAACCACATACTTAGAAGAAGCATTTCATTACAACAGCATTGGCATATTCAATAACAATTTCCAGAGCTAAGATGCATCTCTTTCAAAATTGGCTGTAAATTTTTAGGTTTACAG